AGCAACATGCTTTAGGGAAGAAACAATGGTCTCAGAAGCAGCTTCTGGGACGAAATAGAAACCAAACCTTTATATCAGGAAAAAAAAAATGACTGCCAAAACATTCTACACATTGATTATTGAAAAAACCCAAACAAGCCCCCCCCCCTCACACCTTTCTACGGTGAGAGATAATCAGACAAGATTTGGAGCGCAGTGGGCGAAGGAACCAAATTCAAGATGGCGGTGGGAGAGACTATATGAAATACACAGCTGCGCTTGCAATGGAATACTTTATTCACTATACGCATGCGTTTACAGTTTTTACTGAACTGGATAACATCCTCGTAACACGGTTTTTGGCTGGGCTAGTTATAATTATAGGACTAGTTTTTACAGAATCCTCGTCTAACCTTTCACGAGTTATGACAAAGGGAGGAAGACTTTCTTCAAGTGTTCCAACAATTTGTGACTACTCTGAATGCAAATCGTGCACGAGGCACCTCACTATAAGACTACTGAGAAATTGTGCGCATATCTGAGGGATCTAAAACATAGGTTGCTAGGAACCATTTCTGTAGGATTCAAAAACACTGGAAGGAAACGGGGGGGGGGGGGGGGGGGGGAGTTCGCTTACCTGGTCATTGGTACATGCTCCAAATCTCCCGAAATAAGTAGGGACGCTGCCACAGAATATCAAGGGCAACCATCGAGGGTGCGGCCCCAATGTTTTTCACGCTCTAGGAGCTATCGAAGTGTCTCCTGCTGTATAGTTTTCAAATTCTCTCTGAACACATTTCGAAGATGCGTGTTTCAGGTTTCGCATTTGGTGGCGCTAGCTTAAAGGATATTAGCAGCACCTAAAGGATTTCATGGGTAGGAATTTACGCTGTAACGGCTATCATTCCTATAGCCATATATGCCGACAAAATCTGAAGGGAAACTGGTGCAAGAACGGAGATCCTTCGAAGCAGCGTACGCTGGCGTTGTTTTTCGGTGCAAGTTTCAAGTTTTGCTACGTAGTTTGTAGGCATGAATAGTGCAGGCAGGATTTGCCCCTCTGGCGCAATTTTTGGTGGGCACGGGCTGGTGAATTGTGAGGCACATGGGACAGCTTTTTTCTCTCCCATAATAGAGTACCAAGTATTTTAAATCGTTAACCACTTTTTTTTAAGCACATAATAACTTACAGTGGACTCATTATGGTTCTCTGATTGCAGGGTGGGTATTGATTCGTTATTGAGTTTCTGTCAAATTTTATCGTCCCACCTGCTCGCCACATATAACTGAACTTCGCCTTTAAAAGAGATTGAATATTGAGTATATATACAGAATACAGAGATTTTAGTTCAGAAAAAGGTGCCATAGTGTGAACACTTTAGGGTGGCTTTATTATAATGTAAAAAAATACTACTTAGCAGTGCAAAATAAATAATAGCAAACTAATCAGAGTACAAAGTGTAATATTCAAGGTATAGGCGGTTGAAATAGTTGGGTCAGAGTAATATATCAGTACAAACAAACCTGTCAAGCTTAATTTGGATGAACACGTTGATTAAGATTTCCTAGTCTGCTATTAGAGCATCCAGCATGTTCAGTGTTGCTTAGAAAGGCGCCACGCATTCTAGGGGTATCTTTATTCAGATTCCCTGGATCGTTTGTTTGTGGCATGCTTCTTTCGCGGTGCCTCGTTGCAAGACGAACCATGCAGCCCCAGGGTCCTCGTTGTCTGCGGTTGCCATGGCAACTTCGCCAGGAGCGTCTGGCAACCCGAGCAAGATGGATGAGATCGCTCGTCGCGCGCTCGCATACCGAACCTCCTCTCCCTCTCGCTACATTAGCTCTATAGTGTTCCTGTTTTTTTTCTTTTTTTTGTTTGCAAGTTTGTTGGCTGACACCTCGCTATCTTTCGCGAAGAGTTGCTTCCTATTTCGGCGCTTGCATGCAGTGCAGTCTGGCGTCAACCGTCGTAATCTAGTGCAGTCTATCTAGCGTGATGCATGTTCTATTGATATAGTGTATTGTACATTTGTACCTAACAAGATTAAGTTGCCTGATTCATAAGGTGAACTTTTTGGCTTGTTGGTTTAACATCTTGTATCGGAAAATGGCGGGGTAGTAACGAAGACGAAGGATAGGAACGAACAAAACAACACACGAAGCACTTATATACCGAAAGAATTTTATCCAGGCGAAAAAAAAAATTGATATTCAAATCGATATTGAGGCCAGGCGCTCACTAGTTTAAATCGCACATCACTGATCGGTTTCGTCTATGTGTATGTGGGTGCTGGAATACGAAAGGATGTTATTATTATTAGCTCGCTCATGGGTAGCTTTTCCTTTTGTCGTTCCGAGTCGAGTACGTAGCGACGGGAGCTCGGAGCGCTCTCTACGGGTTTCCGAGTATGGAAAATCGAAAAATGCTAGAGATTGCGTCCTTCGAAAATAATAATAATAATAATAATAATAATAATAATAATAATAATAATAATAATAATAATAATAATAATAATAATAATAATAATAATAATAATAATAATGTACCTATTTGTTTGTTTGTATTTTGTTTTAGGAGAGGGGGAGGGAGTTGGTGCTTTTGTTTGCGGAACATTTTGTCACTGGCGCATAGCTAGAAAAAAATGAAAAAGAGCGGATGAATGAGACAGACGAACGCCAAACTACCAATTGCTTATTGCCTGCGCAGGCTGAAAAAAAAAAAGGCTTCCACACATGGCGCGTCAGTGGCGTGGAAGAGTTACCCGAGACATGTAATCACGTGACCAGTGCGTTAGAGGAAAACAACTCGGATCGACGGAGTACAATAGATTACAATAGATGTGTCACTGACACAAGCGAAACCATTACTTCTAGTATGTGATATGCCTCTGGTGGCTGTTAGATATCAGATTTTGCCGATAAGAGACAGATTGACGCGTCTGTCCCTTTCTTCCTTTCATTTTCATGTTTTTTTTTTTCATTTGCGCCAGTGACAAACTGTTCCGAAAACCGTAACCTACACTGAGGTGGACCGTCGAAGCTTGTGCGTAAGAACGTGTCTACGAGCTGGCGCTTGCGGGCCTTTGGGAAATGACGTCTCATTTATAACAATTGTTGGGGTTTAACGTCCCAATACCACGATATGATTGTAAAAGACGCCGTACAGGGGACCCGATCATTTTCGCCTTAATCGTAAACCCGGTCGCTGCGGCCGGGATTCGATCCCTTGACCTGCGGGTCAGCATTCGGGTGTATACCCTATAACCGCTAGATCACCGAGGCGGGTTCACGGAAAATAACGTTAACATAAATATACCCATCCCTGGAAGATATATACCTCTGCAAGTCGTTTTGACTCTGCACTCGCACGCACTTGGGATATCCTGTGGACGTCCTATAGACGTCGTCTCGTATTCATGGAGGGTCTGTCTCCAGTACATTTCCCAGCAGGAGTGCGCCCCGCTCGAGTTGTCATACTATGTAGTATATATAAATGGACGGCATAAAACTGCGCTGCTCTACGTATACGCTGCGATTCGGAAACGAGCCGCCGTTGGCTGGACGAGAAAACAAAAGCTAACGATGTTCAGACGACGACGCGGTCCAACAACCGCCCGGCCGATTCGAGCGGTTCGCAATGCGCGTACGTGAGGGCGCCATAGACATAAATTCAACCTCCTCACTTTTTTACATATGCAGATTTGGGAATGATCGTTTTTTTTTTTTTTTCGACTGCTGTGAGCAACCTGCGTGACCTGCTCGGCGTATCTTGGCGCGACCGCATATGAAATGACTGTGGCCCGTATGTAATGTTTTTTTTTCTGGTCTTGATTTCATGTGGGGCTTCTTTTCACGGCATTTATACCCGTCATCTGCCATCCCTGCTTTTTGTATTTTTTCGTCTCTTATAGAACGTATATTATGGAACGTATATTAGTGGACCATATATGGAACGTATATTAGTGTACCATATTGATGTGTAGATGGGCAATTATGGAACATATATTAGTGGACCATATATGGAACGTATATTAGTGTACCATATAGATGTGTAGATGGGCAATTATGGAACGTATATTAGTGGACCATATAGATGTGTAGTCAATTATGGGTACAGTTACCGTAGTTCTGATCTTGAGTATATTGCCATAATAGGAGTTTCAAAACGAGAGATAAGACCTCGAAAAATGATTTGACGCACTGCGAGCTGTATCTCGCAGCTACCGAAGATCGCCGACACGACATATGAAAGGTGATGATTCAAGGTGGGAGAAAGATTGTAAAAGAATGATTAGGCAACCGAATCGCGGCACGCGTTATCGGAGTTCCGATTGCTGATAGGCAAGGAAGAAATGAATCAGGTAAATTAAGGTATTTGTTATGGGTATACATAAATTCACAGAACGTATAGAAGATGACACATGCCGCACACATAGCGATGAAAACACTCGCATAATTTGCTATATGTCCCACTCGTAAAACTATAGTGTCCGATTATCTTTGAAGTTCTGGAGAATGGCTCATTGGGAAACGCAGTGCCTGTTCCTTTTTCTTTTTATTAATCTGAAATAATTAATAAAAGAGGTTCGTGCTTCATGCCACCGGCTACTCATTTTCGCTTAACAAACAAAACATTTACTAAAAAAGAATATGCGCACAACAAGAGTCAAAAGAGTGCTGGTTCAAATAGGTGAAATAACTTAAGGTATGCACGTCTAAACTCAGATCTAAACACAGGAAAATACACTATAGGAAAAATAATTACATGTAGCATCAAATACAATCGCAACGTAATACAATTCGAAACACATACGACAATTAATGTCACGCATTTGCGTTCAGTAAAAAGCTTTTAATAATATTTTCGTGAAATACTTCTTGCTTTCATTTTTTTCTATACGGATTGCTGTATAGTTGTCTGTTCCCTCGTCACCAGTATCAATGTTTTTTTGTGTGTGTGTTTGTTCTCTATGATGTCACGAGACTGTGCGTGACAATTTTTTTCCTTTTTTTCTTTGCAGGTAAATCGGTGGACTCTTTCAGCCTGGGACTCTCTCCACATGGTAAGCACTTATGTCATGCACATGCTTGTTTTTCTTGCTTTGAATCCGTTCCATACGTTCGTGCAGAAATCTCTCTTCATATGCAAAGCGAGTATTTAAGAAAAAAACACAAAACAAGAAAAGCCTGATAACAATTCTACTTTCCGATGTTCAAAGGTATATCGTGAACAATGAAATTTTTAGCTTGTATTTGAGGCCTATCAAGTTGTTGTTACTGATAGCCACCTCCGAATATTATTCGTCAGTGTGGACATACAAATGAAATTATGTGATGCATGGCGCACGAATTCGCAGCGTCCTTCACTTTCTGAGAGCGTAAAGAACTTCATAAAAATTAACACCATGCTGTTTATTTGTTTGATGTTTAGCGCTTACACCACTCATCAAACAGCATCATGCCTACAGGCGTTTGTACCCCCCCCCCCCCCCCCAAAAAAAAAACAACTATATTAAGTTGTTGGGACTGAAATTTTGATTACAGAATCACCCAATCGCCATTTTAAGCATATATAATTTAACCAAGGTTATAGCCAGTAAACCGAAGATTAGTAAACGAACCGTGACATATGTAAATTAGATCAAACGTTGCATGAACGTGAGTTTAATCCCTGCAATGGCGCAGATTTTATAGTTTAAGGATTGTGCAATTTTTTTGTTTTAAAACAGTGATATTTTTGTGCGCACGTTTTGAAGACGATATCAATCTGGGAAAATCCTAGGACACATTTTCGAGCTAACAACGAACGAACGGGTATTAAAGGGCTCATTTGTTTTCGTTACTCGTGGTTAGACACTACCATAACGAAAATCAACTGACTGTACAGGGGGCGCTATTTTTGGATAGGACCATTTTAAAGCGTTGTGCTCATGGATATTTTTATAGAGCTTTAATAAATTCTCAGTGACGGCTAAGGACAACATATCATCCCTTAAATGAAAAATAAGCTGTTTAATTTCTGTGAAAGTGTGTCGCTGAAAGTAACATTCACTGGTCATTCCAAGGGTTGCTCCGTTGTTTAATTCGCAGGAATGGACGAGCTCCTTGTTTTTTCTATGTGACTCTTTTATGCAGTACCCAATGAGATGGTTAGCCAGATACGCGTGCTTGTTAATCACAAACACGACTGTCACTTTGCTCTGCTTTAGGAATTTCACACCCTTGTAAAAAAAAAAAAAATTCGTCGCGACAACCTTTCATTAAGCACGGAAATACATGGTAGAGGAAAATAAAAATCAGTTCTCAACGTTCCCGGAAAGCGAAAAAAACGCGTGGCCGATTCTGTTCATGCTTCTTTTTGTTCTACACGTCGGCGAAGGTTTGTGAGACAGAGAAAAAAAATTGCACAACGAAACGTATAGCAAGCAGTCATCAAGCAGGGAACAAACAAACTAAAAAAGGGTCTGTGGCATTCGTATTTAGGCCCCGTAGGATCTCTTACGTTTCTTTTTTGTCTCTTTACGCGCGTTCCCGCTTGATTCGTTCGCAAAGTTATCTTTCTGTTTCCTTTCGTCAACGAGAGTCTCTTCGAACCCGCACTGTGAGGAAAACGCGACGCCTGCTTCGCTCGCGTCCCGCTACGAGTCGCTGCGCTCGCCATCTCTGTGGCCACGCCCACTACACATGCGCGCGCGCACCAGGCCCCGCCTACGCGCGTTTCTCTCTTTCCCTCTAGTTTTTCCTCCTTTACTTTTCTCCTTTCTCACAAGGCCTCCTTCTTTCCCGGCGTAGCGAGCTCGCTGGTTCGCCGCGTCTTCGGTTCGAACTTCTCTCAGCAGTACGAAGGGAGATTCCTCGGGCCATTTTTGCCTTTATTATATCGGTGTTCTTGAGAGGGGATGGCGCTGACTTTTCGGCAACGGCCGTTTTTTTTTTTTTTCGTAGAGCACGTCCGAAGAGTTGCTTTCACTGGCACCTTGCGATTGTTCGCGTCGGTTATTTAACGGCTGTTCAAGGAGGCAATTGCTCGTGAAGACGCGCTTAAATGGTAGAGGGCGTTTCGCTTCGGAGGTTGATCCACATAGAACGTCGGCAAATTGAATGTGTCATTTCATGTCTTAGGAATGGGAGTGTCTTCTTAGAGATCGCGCTTTAGGCGCGTATTCTCGTTCCCTCCACATTGTTGCCAGGTTTACAGTAGCGTCGCTGGCGAATACCGGTGCGTCGACTCCTTAAGACGTCATGGGCACATGAACACCATTCAGACCTATATTGTTCAAGTTTTATAGGATCACTTAGACGCTTCCCTGTTGTCCTGCATGGATATCCAACTCGGTGTATTGTGCTTTTGTGCGTGTATTCCTCCGTTTCGTTGCACGTTCTACATTATCTATAATTAATTTTCCGTTCCTGTAAATCGGTAGCTGGCATGACCTAAACAAATTTGTAACGTCTTTGTTACAATAACTTCGATTCAAAACAAACCCCAAGATTGATCTCCTATGACCGATATATTTGTTTGTTTAAAAGTCTATTGAATAGTAGGAAGCCTTCGCTAGCACAATAGCTCGAAAAAAATTCTAGACTGCCTTTTTCTTGCTTTCGGGAAGACGCAAGACGCTCGACTCCCGATCGCAGAGTATAATAAACTTCTATAATAAGCGTAGACGATGACAGTTAGCCTAAATTATTACTTTGCCCTAAATTATCAAATTTTGTGTTCAAAAGCTTGCGCTGTATAAAGTGCTTATATTCTTATAATCTTAACGTAGCTTAAGTTCCTACGATTTCGCTGTAAACAGATTAGCAGTTCTGCAGCCTACGTAAAGTCGTTCATGATAGCAATTGCGGTGAAAACAGTATTTTTTTTTAAATTTTAGTTTATCGTATTCCAGTCTAGAGTATGTTCATTTCGTACGAAAGGCGAGGACATGAGTAACATTGGGTGTTACCTATTATTGTAAACACACACAAAAAAGAAACGCATAGTGAAATTCCGATTGTTTTGTTCTTCGGCGCCAACGCAAATGCTACTTTACACTCATTAACATACAAGGGGTACCGGCATGAAGCTCTGAAGATGTCTTGAATGTCTGTGCATTATTTTGTTTGTCCTTTCTGCATGTTTTCACCACTTCTTTATTTCGTCCTTCTGTGGCGGCAGCTACGAGTACAAAGACGGTTTCTTGAACATATAAGACGCGACGAAGGTCGATCTAAGTACAGTGTCGACATTAGCGATCTTGTAGGCAGTGATTTCTGGGTCCGCATGGTACTTTTATACATAACGACACCTTTAATGAGCGGTCCTTATTCAAGACGCTTGCGGAAGTAGCGATGGGGTTTTCAGATTTGGTTTGCGATTCGGGAAATGACTCGCTTTAATCCGGCAATCAGTATAGATCAGGGACCGTGTTTTTTGGCGCGCGGCGTTTTCTTTCTCCTGTCTGAGAGAATAAAAAAACAACAACAAACGAACAAGCTTCTAAGTCCTGGCATCCTTGCAAAACAGATTTAGACTGTGGAAATTTCTTTTAGACGATCTAGAGGCTGTTTAAATTCGTTTTTGTTAGCGGTAGATGTGACGCGCAATGTGAGAGAGAAAGCGTTCAGATTACAAAAATATTTGCCCCTCTCTCTCTCTTAAAACAAACCTAATGAATCAAAATGAAAGAGACAGATATGTACAAGACATATAAAGGGCGCACCCTACAGAAGTATTGCCCTCTTTCTGTCTTTCTCTCTTTCTGTTTTTCTGAGCCAAACGGAAATGAGAGAGCGTGGTGCATCCATGGATCTCAACACCCGGTCCACCGCTCCTGTAGGATTGCCATTCGTCATTCCTTTATCGGCGGAATCCGTCGACTGCCCGATCTGCCGCGGTTCGCCATTCCTATACCGTGCCCTTGTCGGAGCCAGAGCCAGTTAGCGAGCCAGCAGAAGCCGCGGCGCGAGTTTTTCTGTCTTCGCGCCCGAGCACACATCTTTGAAGTTCATTCTTAATCTCGCTTTCTTATCGTCCCGTCGCTGCCCTCCTTCCCCTGTTCCTTTTCGGATCTTTTTTTTTACTCTCTCGCACCCTCTGATCTCTTATCTCTGTTTCGGACGGTTTCTTTTCTTGTCTTAGTGCGGCACAAAGACAGTCTCCTTATCTCGACTTTCGCGTCTTGACCCTGTAACGAGCGGGCGAGTTCTCCGTATCTTAAGTTTGTGTAGAGTTGCGACTTGTTAGGCCCTTGGGGACGTCTTCACGCTACCGTTTGTTTGTTGGCGTGTGTGTTTTTACGGGAGGCATCATGTGGCCGTGTCCTGGCAGGTTGTGTTTGCAGACGACAGACGGCATAAAACAATTTTGACTGTACGATTAACTCGACTAATTCCGGCGTGTTTGGTTCGAAAGAAAATGGACTTGCGTAAAAATATTCATAAAACAGGACGTAGCGGGAAATAAAGAATGAACGAAAGGGATAACGGAGCAGCCAACGCCACCACGTTATTAACTGAATCCGCGAAGGATTGCATGAAAGGTTTCCGCTTGAAGCCCGTTGGTCGCGGTTAGGCTTCAAAGTTCAAAACTGCTAACGCATGCACGGGCAGTTTTAGGCGGTCCATTAGGGAACAAATTACGCGAAAAAATGACAACGTAGAAGCAGACAACTCGTAGAGAAACGAAGAAAGAACACACAACAGAAACGCGATGACTCTGAAGATGCGGTTCAGGCAAGGACAGCTGCAGGGGCAGACAACAGCAGAACATAGGCATGCTCATCAACAGACAACACAGTAACATCTCATACTCGTGAACAGAGAACAGAGGAACGTACGCCAATCAGAGGAGCTTATATAACGGACCAAACAGGATGAAACCACTCGTGAACAACCAAACAGAAGGAAATGATGAACATCGGAGGAACATACGACTCGTGAACAGAATGCACAAGAATAAATACTGTAAGAGATGCATGTCAAGACGAGAGCAAACGACTCATGAAAACACGAATGGACTACTCGTGAACTTACACCACTGGGGCAGATTTTCGAAGTCAAGAATAGACGATACAAG